GATGATGATGATGATGATGATGATGATAATGATAATGATAATAATAATAATCATAATAATAATATATAATTGGAGCAATATATGTTATTATTGTTACACACACACACAAGCGTGTGCGCACACATTAATAAATAGTACAGGTGTATTTGCCTTTTAATTGTTTTGCAATTTGATATTTTGCACCATATTTTGTAACACCATATACTGTTGTCATCACAGTTTGTTTTATAACTTTTCTTTTTATAAATCCTTCTAATATTTGTGCAATTTTAACATTATTTTTCGCATCCATTTGTCGTTGTTCTTCAATCTAAAATACAATTAAATATGACTTCTCTGAAAATATTTACATTGCAATTTATACTTTTCTATAAAATAAGAAATTTACAATCGAAACAACTGCAGAATATACATCTTTTGGAACATCAAATGGATATAGATTAACACTTTCTGCACCAATTTGATCTTTACCAAGTGCTGCATAATGTTGAAGACCATTACAACTTCCATCTTGATGCACTGGAAATGTAGTTATATATTTTTCTATATTTGGTGCTTTTAATGCATTTGTTATTTCTATACAGCCAGCTAGAGTTTGCCATGGTTCTTCTGATTGTGTCCACCACATTTTGCCCTTCACAGTATAAATAACAATTCTATTAAAAATTATTTTAGATATTCTAATGAAGAAAATTCGTATATACTTATTTAATGTAAATATGTAATTAAGCATTATTAAAATATTTCTATTTCATTCTTTAATAAATTTAAAAAGTAGACAGTATTTAAATTCAAAATAAACACTTACTGTTAAAGGTTTAGTACCACTATCTATTATATTCTCCATATTCTGATCTGCATATTCAAGGCGGCTGTTAACCGAAGTTCCTTTCTTGAAATTAGTTAAATTAATAACATGTAGTTTTAACCACTTTAATCCATTTGGACCTAGAGGTTTTCCTTTTGCAAATAAAAGCAAAGAACGACCCAAATCAGATGATAGATGATTTAAATAAGGAGAAAGTGGATAGGTTCTCCCTCTAAAATCCACATTATGTGGCAGCCAAAATATTTTATTTCTAAGCTTTAAAAAAATAAAAATATATATATATATATAATATTTAGATTTTATATTTATAAAAGATATATGTATACATATACCGCATGCCCCAGTAACGATAGTACAACCGAGGAGGGGGGTGATTCTACATGAATAAAGAAGTCGAAAATAAAGAATAAAATTTTTTTATTCGAAGCTTCGTTGTCGAGGAAATCGACCGAAGTCGAAACATCCACCGAGTATGCGTGCACTGAACTTTGGTTTATTATTAGATCAGTATACCAGCGTACTTAATGAATATTCAAAGTCGATTTTCTCGACAACAAAGCTTCAAATGAAAAAATTTTATTCTTCATTTTCAATTTGATTTTAATGTAGAATTACCCCTTCCTCGAATGCACTACCAATGCTGGGGCACTCCGTATATCTTACATAGATAAGACAATTTGAAGACAATTTGAAGAACTAGGGATAACGAACAATTTTCAAAGCAAAATCACGATCAATTTTCAAGGCACTACCATACTTATAAGATTAGAACATTAACAAACTTTCTAATGTAAATACTTCGTAATCTAATGTAGTAATAATTCAATTATTGATATCATTACATTGAGGATATTAATAGAAATAAATGAATTAAAAAAATAGAAAACATACATGATTGGCAATGGATAGCTTATAAAGAGTATCACACCATGAAGAATACATATCAAATTTTTTTTTTCTATACTGAGCTGCTGCTATTGCTGCTTTTTGTTTCTCTTCAACCGTAGCATTTTTACTTATGGAGCATGGTGGAGATAACACAGAAACTGATTGAGGAATACCCAATTCTGTAGAACCACCATTTTGAAAAATCTAATTATAAAGAATATATAAATAAGATTTATTTATAATTATAGTACTTTATATTAGTTTATTGCTACTAACTATTAAATAATTATTTTAATAGCACAATTACCTTAATTACGATATCAAGTATAACAGTATTCACTTTCCATGGAATAGAACCTAGTTGATTTAATGAATCGAATATAGGAAATAGCTGTTCTGTTTCTGTAGATTGAAGATAATGGCATGAACTATCCTGAATAAAAAGTAGATATTATACATTTCACTTGTATAATATTAAAGATATACAAAATATATATATTTACAGATTAAATTAAAATTATAAACTTACAGAATTATTTGATATTCTTGTAAAATCTGTTTTTGTTATAAGATATCCCCCTCTATAGATTGAAATCCATGGAGTTGGTGGTGCATAAGAAGGTAATAAAACTGAATCAAAGTTTAATGTTTTTAAATGTATTTTCTTATATAATTTTGTTACAAAAGGATGAGGTTTAATCTGTAACATACAAAATTTCATATGAAGTAATATTTATATAATGTTTAATTTCCTTTCTGTAGCATTTTGGTACTAATAAATTCAACCCCTTATCTATCTAGAAATCTCTAAGAGTTATAAAGCTTTAAATATTCCAATAACTAATTTGATTCATATACAAACCTGTTCAGATAAATAATTTCCTTTATTTCTAAACAATGTGTAAAATGCAGGAATAGAATTTTTTATATCTTGACCTTTTAAAATCTCAGGTTGGAGCATTATATCATTCAAAATAATATTATACAAAAATTTACCGATATTTATAATGACATCCATAGGCCAATTTAAACAAATAAGATTCAAAGATGTACCGTATTTTGCTTCTTTATATTCAAAATATTGCCATATGGTACGATTATTTGTATTACTTAAACATTCTATATTTTTAGGATGTAAGTACCACTCAAGGTACTTTGAATAAATTCTAGTTATCTTATCTAACAATCCAGTCCGCTTTTTTATTTCCATCTACAAATTATGATTATAAAAAATATGATTAAAATAATAACACACAAAAATTTGTAATCAAGATGGTATAAAAATCACTTTCAAACCTCATACTTCCTATAAATGAATTTTCCTAATGTAATATATAATAATTTAAGAGATGTACTATAAGTTTCTGATCCTGCAACTATTTGTCTAATTTCTTGCAATATAGCATTTACATAGACTTCTTTATCCAAAACTTCTAAGAATGGATACAAAACCATTAAAGTATTATGACGACACTCCTTTTGTTTCAAACATTTTAAATTCCGTTCAAAAGCAGCTAATGCTACATTTTTCCAACAATTTTCTATTTCTATAATTTTTTTTTCCTAATATAATACAAAAATACAATATTTTTAGTATTAGAACAAATTAATATTATGGTAAAAATGTATCTTTTAAAACTATAACAATAAAATTAAATTAAAAATAAAAATTAATATAAATTTGAAGCATTAAATTTAATAAAATATTACATAATAACAACTTACTGAATTAGTTTCTATATTTTCCTCATTTGGTATAATACTTGGAATCTGCACATCAATAGATAATTCATTTTGAAATTGCATTTTAAAACAATCTTTTAATTCTTTCATAGTTAATAGTTCCTCCACTGGACTCTCATAATTATTTTTCAGTGAAATATTTTTTAGAAGATAGCAACTATATTCTGTATTTAATATTGCATATGATGGTTGGAAATTTGGTGTCAACATACTAATTACCTTTAATATATTTTCTTGCTGATCATTTTTAAAACATGATTTATTAAAGATATCATTAAAAGATATATTGTAATTTTTCATTTCAGCATTCAAAGTTTTCAATAATTCTGCAAATAATATAAATTATTGGAATATATATTTCTTATATGTGAAAAATTAATTATATACAAAATTTACATAATACGAAATATATAATTACCTATTTGTTTTTTATTTATACTTTCTCTTCCGAAAGCATCAAATATATATGCGTAAGTTTGTGGTGTCGGTATTAAAGAATCTTTTTTTATTATGTCATATAACTCTAAAACTTTCATTATTTTCCTTCTAAAAGCATAAGCTTCTAAAAGTATGTTATAAAGTTCAATACCTTTATCACATTTCAAAGTATTTTGAGTATATTTCCTATATTTCATTAAGGTGTTATTTGCTCTACTTAACAATCCACAGTTCAAATAAACTTCCATATATGCTATTAAATTTGTAACATAATTTTCTAATCCATACTTATTTTTAGTTTCATGTGATCCTATCTTTTTTTGTGGTAATGTATTATTTCTAAAATACAATTAAAACGAATTTTAATAGATAATAGATAATAAATATTCAACAAATATATGAATACATGAAATTTAAATTGAAAACTAAGAAGGAAAATAACATATTTGAGAATGATATATTATAGTAATTCATTTTAGTAATTTTATATTATAAATATAACATATATTGTTAACATTATTCAATTGTATTTCCAAATTATATATTGCCAAAATAAAATAGCAACAAAAATATCAGTAATAAAAGTTAAATTTTACAATATACTAAAATAATCTCATTAAATCAAATTTCAGTACCAATTTTAATATCTAATAATTTATATGATTTGTGACTCATTTGCAATGTCATAAAAAAGTGTATTAATAAAGATATACTTGTATTGAATAGCCAACAGAAGTAATAACAAATATTTCAAAATACTTTTTTTTTTATAATAAAATTAAACTTATGTTAAAATTATATTTTAATTTTTTGTTTTTTTGAAATTTATATATTCTTAATAATTTCATTATTTTTTTATAATTTTATTATTTCATTCTTATAATTTTGTGAAGAACATCAGGTACTATTTGTATTATTTTTATGAATAAAAAAACATCTGTTATACATACATATTTGACTTCAATATATTGTTTAACTTTTGTTTTTCTTTTGAGTTAATTGTTTTGACAAAAGGAAAAGTAGAACTGTTTTGGAGGAGATTATCATTAATTTCATTACAGTTATCCCAGTTATTAAAATTTGTTTTCTTCTTATCTTCCATTTCATTTCTAGTAATTTCATCTATGTGGTTATCCTATCAGTGAATTATAAAATAAATAAATATATATTATCATGTTATAATATTTATATAATGAAATTAAATTAGAAAAAATTTCTTAAATCTAATTTTCAAGCAAAGAATATCTTTTAAAAAGCTTGTTCACTACATATCATAATAAACATGCTGAAGTTAAACATAAAATTTTATAACAATAATATTGTAGTTAATAGCATATACAGTAAAGGTGGAAATCACAGTGATGGGCTAAAAAAATCGATTTTTTTTTACATTTTCTTAGCATTTGGAGTCTCAAAAATGAGTTTGCAAAATATTAAAATGAAATTCGTAAAAATGAAAAAGTTATAGAAAGTTTATCAAGTTACAGAGTGCTGATAATAGGCAATTCTTGACTTTAGGATAATCTGATTGCATGCATGGTCAAATTTTTTATGTATATCTTAATGTCACAATGATAGTTAACAGAGCTAAAATTATTTATTTTAGAGCGATAGTGTAAATGAATCAAATATATGAGATGTAATTCGTCCTTATGAATTAAAAGAAGATTCATTTTGGCAAATACAATTTTAATCATTTTATGGAAATATATTAAAATAAATATACCATGTTACAAAATCTGCATTTGAAATATCTCTCAAAAGAAGTGCATAAGAAGAAAAGTAAAAAATTGTAGAAGCAGAAAATATTGTTAAAGCCGTCAGATTAACAGTTTCTAGAAACAACAATTGAAAATAAGAACAAATGGTAATTTAGATAATTATGATCATAAAAATATATTATCAAAAAATATAATTACTGTTATCACACCTATTTATAAAGACTTGAGTGAAAAAAAACTAATGATAAGATATTTAGATGAATTAATGAAAAATAACAATGAAAGCTTTAATGTTCTCATTTGAAAGCTTGTCCCCAAAGTAGTATTAAATGTAGTTAAATTAATCAAACTAATAATTTATTTAGCTATAATTTTATTTAACAGTAGTTGCTCAGGGTTGCTATAAATAATAAAAGTTTTTAACACCAAAATTGAGCCACAAGCATTAGCATACAGAGACAGGTAGTGGTGATATGCTTTTCATCTCTGCTATTGAATAAAAAAACTGAAATAATGACAGATAGAGGTTGATTAATGAAGAAACAAGTTACAAATGAACGAATTAATAAAAATAATGCTAATGAAGACATAGATTATGGTTCTGGAATAGATGCTATTTGATATATATAAAAATTTCAATGTTGTTTCATACATAATTTGTTACAAAACTTTAAACGTATTTTTCTCAAAACCATGTTTTCAAACTGAATGAAACAATAACTCAATAAATCTTCAACTAATTTCGAATTTTTTAAATTTTCGATTAAATAATTACTTTTTACTTAATGATAAAAAAAAGTTACTTTTTACGCACTTTCGAATTTTTTTCTTTATAGACATTCCTCATTTTGTAACAAATTTCTTTTTTTTTCTAGTCATTATGAACAACTGTAACTACAGCTTTGTAGTTTACAAGAATGTAATGATTTCTTATTTCAGAAATTACATTAAAGAATTCCACATACATCCAATTTTAAAATATTTTTGGAAGTCCACAATGCAAGTACCTTCCATAACTGCCATAATTATTGTCTTTATATCAAATTTTAATAAATAGTAATTCAAGAAATGTATTTTCTAAGATCATTAAAGATGTTTCAAATAAGAAAAGAAAAACAAAAACATATAAATTTGTGTAAAAGAAATTCTTAAAAATAGCTATTATTTTCAGCTGTTACAGTCGCGTCACCCCTTAAGTTGATATTCCTGTCTAGATTCCAATTTATTAATTATTTATTGGCAATTTTTATTAAAAAGGGGTAAACCTTTTTTGCATTCAATTTACACATTTTTTATATTAGAAGTATCTTATATTAGAAGTTCTATATATTAGAAGTATCCACGATATTTTTGATACAAAAATATTAAAAATTGCAGAAGTTACATTTAAAAAACAAGTATCTTCATGATTGCAACAATTTCAGCCATTTTGTTCATCAAAAATGTAAAAATCAAAAAGCAATTTATTCAATATGAATACAAATATACCTGGAATTAGAATCATGCAAATATATTAAAAATAAATAATTTGGCAGCACTTCGAGGTCTAGTAGTTAGTTTTATGTGATTTTTCGTATCTGAAGCAAGCCAAAAAATATAGTAAAGACACCAGACTTTAAAAATCTTAGGGTATTAAAAATCATTTAGATGATAAAGAGACATGTAGTGAAGATTACTTTCAAATTTGGTTGTAATCGGTGAACTGGAACTTAAAATATGGCATTCATTTGGAAGAATGTAGTTTTGAGAAAATCATGTTTAATGTTTTTTGTACAAATATGTGTACTTACACTTCATCTCCTAGTCCAGAACCATACAACATAAATTCACAAACTGAACTATACACTTGCAATTTTAAAATCAAGCCTATATACAATAATTTGCTCAAAAGTTTTGCATTCTTTTTGCATACTTTGCAAATCACTAAAAGGAAATTATAGAAATTACTAATCAAAAATTCAAGATACAATATTTAAAATTTAGGGTACTATCATTAATTTTACAAATACAACAATATTCATTAATAGAAATATTCTCAAGAACACGTACTTTTTTTGCAAACTAACAGAAAATTTAATTGTTAAATTGCATTTTTAGCTTTGTCATAATTAATTTTTTGATTTGTAATACATTTAAACCAAAGCTTTATAATTACTAACATATATTATTTACAAAAATACATTGTTGTTCATAAACTAATCCTTTACTCACTATAATTTAAATTATTCACTACTTGCTTACAATTATTTATTTATTTAACTTGAATTATTTACTTTTATTGATATTCAAATTTCTATATACTACCAATTTTGAGTAAATATTATATAAAATTTCAATATTTTATAAAACTAAGAAAATTGATAAGATAATTTAAAATACTTAATAATAAATAAATTAGTATAACTTACAATATTCAAATAAATTTTATTATCACAAATATAATCTTCATTTGTATATTTTGAGTCAACGGGTTGATTATGTATAGAGTCTTTAACATCATATGAATTATTTGTATTAATATCACATTTATCAATATACATGGATAAATTACACACTGATAATTTTTGTACTTCAGTTCTTTTATTACTTGCTGTTTTATTTGTCACTATATTAAAAAAAATTATATTAATGAGAAATAATGTTAAACTTGTTTCATTAGCATTAAAAAATTAAATTTAATATTAAAATTAATATTAAATTTTACCTGCTAATAATTCAGCATATTTTTTTGTTTTTTGTTTAACTTTTTTCTTTATTGGAATATGACCCAATATATTTACTGTTGTAGCATAAGTACAAATTTGATAATGTTTTATATCTATAATTTAAATCAATTTGTATTAATAACTATAAATGTTTAAATAAAAATAATTAAAACGTAACCATAAATATGAAATTGAATTTGCTTTACATCTTATATGATGATTACATAAATATAATATTTAATTTATATATTAAACATTTACTTGAATCAAAATATATATTTACTTACAAACAAATCTATTATATTATATACTTTAAAAAATTTGTATAGCTGTTACAACTTAAAAATAATGATAGTTTGTTTATATATTCATAATTAAATTTAATACTCTTATTATCTTCTTAATACACTTACATTTTATATGATTTTATATTTAATTTTTATGAAATTTATTTCTCAATACAAAGAACTATGTGAATACTATTTCTATATAATTTTTATTTTTGAATGTTTCCTTGAAAATATAGTGTTGTATAAATAGCAATTTCAGTAACGGATTCAAAGAACATATAAAATTTTTTCAATTAATTTATAAAATTATTTATCAATTTGATTTTCATTTTATTTATTTTTATATTACTACTCCATGTCTTCAATTAAATCCTATAAGATTCTTTTTTCATTTTGTATAAATAAATATTACTTCCATTTATATAATTGTCAAACTTTATAATCAGAATCATGAAAGATGTTTTTTGATTTTATTGCAGTATCATTTATGATAATTTATTTTCAAGTACCCCATTTTGTAATTTAAATTACAAAAAGAATCATTTCCAAATTCCAATACAAATTTTATTAAATACTTTAAATTTCTCCTAAATTTTTAATTTATATACATCAAAAATAATATTGTGCTGTATATTTAATCATTTATGACATAAATAGACTAAAAATTAGCAGTAAAGAAAATAATAAACATTATATAATATTCAAAAAACAAAATTAAACTTCACATATAATATTTTAAATAAGAATGTAAATTATAACATGAAAAAATAAAAATTGTTTATAAAAATTAACATGTTGATAAACATACATTTTGATATTTTTCCGTGGTAGAAGTTACAAAAAGAGCACAAACGCATTGATCTCTGTATAATTATTTGCTTTGGCATTGTAGAAATACCATGTGGAGATATTCGTTTCGTAACTCGTGCTGCTAGATGTTTATACATTTTTATATGATTACACAAAGTTTTTTACATCATTAGCTTTGTAATAATTAATTATTTTATAAACGATAATACATTTATATGAAAAAACTATCATATTCACAAAATAACCTCACCCACTAAATAGAAAGCAACACTTCACAATCATGAATAAAATGAACACACACTTAATAGATGGCAATACCATTCTGTTTAAAAGAATATTTATCCTTATTTAAACTTTTACATCCAAAAAAAATTTGATATTCCTTTATTAGTTGAGTTTCAATTGTTATTTTTTTAAAATTTATAATATATTATTTTAATAAATGCACATAAGTGCAATAAAATGATTATTTTTGATTAATTTTAGATTATCAAAGCAGAAAAAAAATATTTTTTGTATTTTTTAAGATTATTTTTGCAATAAAAATTAATAATATTTTTTTATAACATCAGACATTTGTAATAATTACTTTTGTATATTATATCATATTATTAAATAAATAATTAAATTTCCAAATAATATTAAAGCTAGTTAAAAGAGAATCCAGAAAATTGTAAAAATTTATTTTATTTCATGTTTATATCATATTTATATTACACTTTACATTTTACTATTATTACATAAATATATGTTTAATATACAGTAGAACTTACAATTTAAAAAAATGATAATACTTGAAGACGTCTAATTTCTAACATGTTTGAATTTATTATTATATCGTTTCAAAAAGTATAAAGTAATACTAAATATTATTAGCATAGAAAAAATAGTTAAAAAAAAAAAACAGATTATTATTTTGTAATAGTTTTTTGTATGTTACCCTAATAAAATAGAAAAGTTTCGTGACTATTGCACTAGATAGCGTTAAAACGCTATTAATGGGTTAATACATTATTGAAAGCATTCTATATACTATTTTCTTTAGTTTTAAATATTATACATTTATAAAATCAAATTAAATATTTTATGTAAATATTTTAACTTTAAATAAAAGAAATATAAATTAAAATACCATTAGAACCTAGTATTTATTATTAGTGTTAAATAGTGCATTTCGATCAGTACCAAAAATGACCGCTACATGTCGCTACGGAATAGTATATACCTTAAGTACAGTTTTTTAAAAATCCAAATGTGGACTTACCTAATGATACCACAATCAGTTCTTCGCTGATCGAATAAGAAAACAGTACGTTCTTCTTTACCCTTCGATTGCTATATAAAGAAATAAAATACCGTTATTAACGTAAGTAAAATTCATACCAATTTTTAAAATTTTAATTAGTATATTTATCTTCATTAATAATATATTTATTTTTTGTCTTTTAGTAATATAAATTTTGATAAACATATTTTTAATTACTCATTTAATATAAGAAATTCTACATAGAGAATTCTAAAAAATATTTCCTTTTTTTTCTAAGAAATAATATTTAATAAATTTTGTTATTATACTTCGATAAAATTGGCATTTTAATAAATTTGCTATTAAAGTTCAATATCTTACATTATTATTTATAATTAAAGACAAGTATATGGTTTTAAATATTTACTTCATATATTATACATAACTGAAATATATAAAAATAGATTTTAATAGTTTGAACAGTTTTCCTTTTAAATCATTGCATCTCAATTGCAGTTTTAAAATGGTGGTCAGTATGCAGTAACTATAATCATAATTTAAAACAACACATTGAAAATTACTTTAAACATATTGGTAATAATTATAATATTATAATATCTTTATTATTATAAATATTGAAATATTTATATGATTAAATAATAAAAATTTATATTACAAATAATTAATTTCAAAATACAATATTGTAAAAAAAAAAACAAAAACATTATATTATAATAAAAAGCGCACACATTTGCAAGAAATAATATCATAAATATGTAAATCAATCTTTATTTACTGTTTTGTTACAAATAAAACACACACGTGCGTACGCGTACACAAGCATATTTCATTATTTTATATTAATTGTCGAGTGACATCATATATGTATATAAACATGTTCATGTAGCGTTATCTGAAATAATTTTTTGTAACAATTAGTAACAATAACAAATATTTTGTAAAACAATTAAATAAAATTAAATAAAAAAGTTGATTATTTCGAAAACAATATAGAATTAAATATTATATTCTACTATAATTATATTCAAAATAAAGTTATTAATAATATATAATATAAAAACATATTTAATTGTTTAAAGAAAGATATAATTAAGATTCTTATGATAAATAAATAATTTTTAGAGTAATAATTATTACAGTAACTTATTAGAAGAATAATTTATTAGAATAAATATACTATAGCTACATGTTCAATAGTACGTATTATATTTAGGGTATTTTTTATAATATTTAGAAATTTACTAATAGGAAGTAAATTTTATTACACCGAAAACAGATGGTTTTAAATGGACCATATGGCTTCAGAAAACAGCACTTGATGTGCATCTGTAGATCTATAAATAGCTAAAATTTGAACTCTCTTTGAAACATGAAATGTAAAAATGTATTTTCGTCTGGAAACTACAAAATATGTGGTTAAAATTATCATATATATTACTTAGTTTTAATATTATTATAAAAAGTATCAAATGAAAAAAACTAAATGTTTATGCATTTGAATGCTTTATTTCTTTCCTCATTCATGCTCAATGTCGCATATGCATGCATGCATGCATACGCACACGCGCACGTGTGTGTCATGTATGCACACGTGCTTGCACATATTTATTTAAATACGTATAATTTAAACAATTTTTTACAGTTTAAATTATATATTAATTCAAATTATATTTAATAGTTGTTATTCAAACACAAAGATTTTATTCATTAAATATGAGAGCTTTAATAATTATGATAATTTATTAACAAAGATAGTTTTCTTACCCATCAAGGAGTCATCAGCAATGACCTCTTAACTCCTTATCTCAATAACAGCACATTCAATTAATTGATCAAAGGAAGTGTTTCACTCATTTTAAACATATCATCTACTTCAGTAATTATAGCAGTGACATATTTCTATTAAAATTATTTCAAAATTTTAACAAAGTAATGAATAAGTAAAATAAAAATAAGAAAGATATAGATATTCTATATTATGAAATAAAATTAATATTTTTTATTTCAGATAATTTCTTTTATATTTTGACAATAGTTGAAAATGAAGTATATGTTAATACTATTTTTGCAGTTACTTTGTATAGATCTTAATAATGCTAGAGAAATTACGTAAGTTTTTTTCACTATTTAATAAAATAATTATTTCATGTATGATTATAAATTAACAATTTTATATTTCTTTTCTCATGTATTCTACAAATTTCTTTTAATTTCTTTTTATTACATAACATTACATTTTATTATCATAACAATTTTTAGACATGAAGATATTAAAGATGCAATGCTGAGTTTGGCACATATAATGCGAGAAAATACTGAAAAATTAGAACGTCATGAAGCACGAGAACGCCAGTTAGGAGAACAATTAAAAAAAGCAATTGCAGTATTAACAAAACGTATATCAACTATTGATTCATTAACATTACAGTTAACTAAACTTGATGAAAAAGTAATAGGAATAGAACAGTTAATCTCACAGGTATTTAACTAATTTAAAAAAAAAAACATTAAATAAATTATATAAAAAGAAACTTTAAAATTTAGAAATATTTATCATATTTGGGTGTTAATAATTACAAATATTTTACAATGAATAATTAGTTTAAAAAATTATGTTTATACAAGAAAGTATTACATATTTTTATAATAATATATACGAATATATTGCTAAAAAATAGTTCATTCCTGTGTTATTTAGAGAGATGAACGAGAAAGAATACAAATGCAAAAGACTGTTGATAGCTTGGAAAATTTAGAAAATCGTTTAGTAGGATGGCTTACAGATATTGAAAATAAAGTATCTGAAGTAAATTCTCGATCAGATACAACGTTACCTTCATTTGATAATTCTTTTCATATTATTTCAAAATTAAATGATTCAGAATTAATGTTAATGGAAAGAATTTCAAAAACAGAATCACTTTTGAAATCTGAAGCAATAGAACTAAAAAAGGCCACGAATTTTCAATCAGGAACAATTCAAGCATTATTAACAGAGGTAAATAATATATTCAAATGTTTATTAAGAAATTTGTTAAAATTAGATACTTTATAGATCCAAGATATTGGTTCAAGACTCAGTGATCTTGAAGTTTCATTGGAAAAAGTTAAAGAACAATCACAAAATATAAAAGAGAAGTTACAAGAACCTAAATTTGATTCTATTTCGAATATTCATAATTATGCAAGTGTACTACCCTCTATACAGAAACTTTTAGAAGATACCTCTGATCAAATTAAGAAATTACCACAGTATGTATTATTGTTATTGTCATCAATATGTTATCGTTAAATGTTAAAAGAAAAATTGTTTTTTTAAATATTAAATATATAAGTGGAAAGATTTTTCAAAATATTAAATTCATTACAATTAGTCACAAAGTAAAAAATACTTGCACTCATATTAATATAATCTTATTCTTGATATTTGTACAAATAAAACTGACTTAAAATTTTTATTTGGATTAATTAATAATTTGGATTAAACAAAAATTAATATTAAATTTTATTATATAGGATTACTGAACTACAAATTTTACATAATGAAACTCAAATGCTATTGCAAGAAACTAAACATGCCTTAAAAGATACTGTTACTAGTGGAGTTAATGATATCGAAAATAAACTAACAAAAACGAAAGATGAAACAAAAGATACTATAGGAGTACTTAGGTATTGTTATATAATATTTATGTATTATTGGTATTTTTCAATTTAATTAATATAAAACTGCAATTAGTTTATTTGTGACATTCCTACATAATTTATATTATTATTTTATTTATATACTGAATTTTTTCACTTGCACATTAATCATAATTCAAAATTTTTATATAAAGTTTTAAATATGATCATAATGTATTAATACATCAAAATTATTTAATATTTTCTTAATTATATATTTTTTTAATCATTGAATAATCATAAAATGATTTCATTCATAACATATAAAACAGTAATTAGTAAAAAATCTATTTTCTCTTAATTTAATAGAATACAAAGGAAAAAGTACATTAATAGCAATATAAAAATAAAATATATCATAAAATATTATAAATAAATTATTAATATATGAATGCTAGTTATTTTTCTAAAAATGAAAATTTATTAATAACAAATTCTTATTGAGTATTTTCGAGGTTTTAGAATGGATTTAGCAAATAATGCTGAACATGTGAATCAAGAATTAAATGATCTTGAAAAGGGACAATCTGTAATGGTATCAATGGCTGATCATGTCTTAGATACTAAAAAACGAGTTGAATATGGAGTGCATCAAATTCTTCTAGAAGTGGGAGATTTAGTAAAAGCACAAGGTATAAATATTAATAATACTCTAAACCAAAGGTTTAATGGCATATCAAACGATATTATGGACAATCAGAATGGAGCTTTGGCAAATTTAACTACTAAGATGGAACAAGAAATGAATCAGGTAATGGTTAAACATATATTTTCCTATAAGATAATCATTAAACACATGATAAGGTTTATTTTATCACAGGTGTGGCGACAAATAAATGTCATGTACCAGCAAATGACAGAAAGTGCAAAAGCATTAGATAAATTACATAAACAAAATGAAGAATATGTTAATGGTACAACTTCTACTATGGGTAGAATGGAAAATAAAGTAAGAATTGAGGTTGAGTAAAAAATACTTAATATACTATATTAAATACTTATATGCATGTATTATAGGTGAGTGTGATAACAAAACGCATGATTGAAATCGATGAGAATTTAAATTATCTATTAGGGAAACTTGCATTGGTGACGTACGAATTTGATCAGATTAAAACAGGTTTAGGTAATGCATTAGATAATATTAAAGCATCATTCAAAGAAGTTCAAGATAAAACAAATGATTTGAGACATCCAGGGCCATACCCAATACCTGAAAATTAAAAAGAATTTAATAAATTTGATAATAATAAATTGGATGGTAAGTCTTTACCAAAAATTGTCAAACGTATTTTTAATTGTTAAATTAATTAAATTTTATATTTAAAACATTGTAATGTATAATTTTAAGAAATAGGATATGTTTTTTGTATTAAATATAATATGAAAATTTCTTAATATTAATTTTATTTATATTTTTATATCTACAGTATATTTTACAAAAATATTTTGTCTGTTGATTTATAATTTTCCTAATTTTACTTCTATTAGATTTTTTTTAAACTAGTTTAAAACTGTTTTCTAACTGTTTTTTAAGATATAACAATTTATTTAAAAACAAATATTTGTTTTAGTTGCAAAAATAAAATAAAGCAATATTATTTTTGTATCGAGGGTGTTTTCATCATAAATGAAACAAGCTATGTTCAAGATTTGTTTTTTATACTCCTAATATATGAACATTCATCTCAATAATATGTATCATTATCATATACTATATATTTTTCAAAATGTATTATTTTAATTTTTATTTGATGATAATATACATGTATAATTTAAAAATATAGAAACAAATAATCTTTCTTATTAAATTTTACTTATACTTTGAGTATTGTAATTTTTAAATATTACGATATGTATAATTCAAACTTTTTAATATATTGGTCCAGAATTGGTATGTTTATGAAATAATTAACAAATAATTATTAAATGAACTTTATTGTAATTATATTTAAGTGACAAAGGAACTTTCTTAAACCTCACAATATATTAGAACCATTAAATTGTAAAAAATTTGGATCAATATATTTCTATACTGCCATATTTCATAATTAATAAGCAATTTAATAAAAAATATAGATATATATGTAGAATAATTATATTGTAAATATATTACACTATTATACAAAAAAAATGTTAATATATATTTTCATACAAATTGAAGAGCAACTATAATATGTCTTACTGATAAAATAATTTATAAAAATATATATTTCATTTTATATGATTTTACAAAACTATTTATCAGTAATATTGTTTCATTTAATAAATTTGTATTATTTCATGTTTATTTAATAGAGTCTACTAATAAAACTAATAAATTTCACTAATGAGTTTAAAATTTTGATTCAATTAAATAATTTAGTATGTACATTATGTAATACAGTGTAATATTTAATCTTTTAAATCCAAACTATGATTTCATAAAATTAAATAAATTTTAATCTTTTTAGTTTGAAAATAAAAAAATAATATATTTTAATTAAATTTTTACATTATTTGTAACTATTTTCTTTCTAATTACTTGTTTAATTGCAATAATCAAAAGTAATAAATGTTTTATAATAATATATACTGTAATTTTATTATTAATTAAAAAGCTGTTTAAGGAAAATAAAATAAGAAATAAATTTGCATGCAAAATATAAATGAATTAAATAATTGTTCCTCTTTTTTTTCTTGTAATACATATACTAATATTAGTTTATTCATACTTACTGTATAAAATTTTTTAATTTTTATACAGTTTATTGCACAGAGTATATGAAAATTATGTTATGACTATTACAGTGTGATTATTCGTTTGAATTAATGAAGATTTGCTATAAAAAGTAACCGTAAAAATAATCTTGAGCATGATTTTTGAGATCAACATTTTTTTTTATTGCATTGTATTTTACTCGTCACAAGTAGGAAATATTTCAAAGGAACCATAAGACCTAAACGAACTATCCGACAACAAATTTTACTATAAATATATTTAACTATTGTATAGAAATGTATTGGATGCTTGGTCGATACTACTCGGTCAATATTTTTCTTACATCATGAAATTTATTCGATGTCTGTACTGGATCTGCATTGAGTTTAGTATATGACGTCTTAAGCTTACAGTTCTACTCGATACATATATCGAATAAACCTTTTAATCCTGGAAAAATATTGATAGAGTAGGTTAAAATATTTATAGCTAATTTTTTGACAAAATGATTTATTTGCAATTTATGATTCTTTTTAGATTTTTTCTCCTTATGACAACTAGAATCCGATGTTATAAAAAAATTAGACTGTAACAATCATGTTTGAGATCAATTTTGTAGCTACTCTTTTTAATAGATCTTTCTAAATTCGAAATTGTAGAATGATGATGTAATGGTCATACATTCTATACATAGAATGTATTTAAATTTATAAGCTATGTTATGTTAATATGATTGTATTATGCAAGTAATTTTTAAATTTTGAATATAATTTCTTGAGTACAAATGATTAAATATTTTACAGACAAATTAACTGCTCAGAAAATAATATAAATTAATGTTATGAAAAGAATACATACATTGTTAAAGAACAAATTTGTAATAATACTAAAACTACATTTGAAATATTGCAGTAGATAATTCTTACTTATGTGTGCATGTGTGTAAGAGGGAGGGGGAATTAATTGTATTATATATACAAGAAATCAATTAGTTACTAGTAATATAATGACTTATTCTTTGTTATTTTTTGTTATTTATGGTTGTATATCAAGGACAAATTAATATGATGTTACAAGATTTCATATTATTTTTTATCTATGTCGTAACTATGTCTAGTAATAAAATTTTTAATTATAATTTTCAATTTTTTATATTGAATACAATTTGGAAACATTAATATTATATTGAAACTTACTACATTTTCCATATAATGTTATATAAATTAATATTTTTATTTCTTTAATTCATTAAGTAAACAACTTGGTACAAAAATGAAATACAGTAAAATTTAATTTTGCAAAGTTGCATTTTTTCGTTTATACTGTAATAAAACTTTTTTCAAGCTGCATAAGAAGTCATTGTATTTATTTTATATAAACAATTCTATTTCTACATTTTAGGGATAATATACAATTATCATATTTGCATTTAAACTTCATTACACTCACTCATAAATATGGTGTTCTCACTCTATTTCCTTTACTTAAATATAATTTTATATGTACATTTAATAACATTAAATTTAATATATAATAGTATTTAATACGTATTGTATAATCCTAATGTATTAATTTTCTATATATAGGTCCACTATATCCAGCTAAATAAAAACTAATATTTTATATGTTTAGAAAATTTGACAAATATTAAATAACTTAAATAATTAGGAAACTGTGATTATATTAAATGTTGTTTATCTCATAATCAAGCGATAAAAACATTTAATTAACTAAATATTTAAATAGAATATTTTATTTTTTCAAGTAATAAACTTAAATTTTGATATTAATTATATTAGTATAGTAACATTACAAATAAAACAAATTTTTATTTATTTGTAAATAAATTACAAAATAGTTTGAAAAATGAAAATGTATGAAATATTTGCATAAAATTACATTTTATCATTTTTTGTTACCATTTTCATTAAATCATCCACTACACATATAATTTGTTATTTAATTTTACATTATACATGGGACAAAATATAGATGTCAAAAACTATTTATCAATAAATACAACATTTAAATTTTTCTGTATACATAAGAAAACACTAAAAATCTTAGAACAACTTTGCAAATTGTACATACAATTATATTACATCAATGTTTTTATCATTTTCTTTTGTAGTAATATAAAACATCTTTTTATAGAAAATAGGAAATCATATAAACTTAATATGTTATATCTATAAATGAAAATTAACACTATAAGTGTTGCTTATAATTTACTGTATCATAAAAGCTTAATTTCAATTACTTGTACAAGTTATTAATTTCTTTTTTTACAAGATACATGACAAATATAATTATGACTTAAGATTTTTCTGAAGATTATTCTAGAGATTCAACCAATCAATAATTGAATATTTAAATATTTATAAATTTGTCAAATTTGTAAATTTGTTATAATAATAACGATTATGAGATAATCACTATACATGTGTTTTACAGAATAGAGAAAGTTTAAATACTAATTAAGGAAAAAGATATACATATTTTTTTAATTATAATTTAATTAATGATTACTATTTCATTTGAAAATTCAATGTTTACAAAAAAATTAAATGATTTTAAATTATTTTTAAATGTTAATATAAAGATTATTATATTTATACATTAATAAATTGTAAAATGTACTCCATTATTGTTTACAGAAATCAGTTTGCAAATATAATGACTTTCAATCATCTAATTTATGAAATGAACTTCGTATGTAAGTCCATTATCGGCAAATTTTTACAAATTATACCAATTACTGAATATAATAATAAGTTTTATAGACTTTAATATTATAATCATCATGATTATATTTATAAATTTTACATATTTAAGAATTTATTTTGTTGAGCATATTAACAAAACTAAAATAAAATTCATACATGAATTTTAAATCTTTAATATTATGTAGCGAAGTATACCAACTTGTTCCATAATTTTATTTTATAGGCAAAAAGAATTTATAACTTGCTAAAAATTTATTATAACTTTTGATAATATTATATTTTTGAGCTGTTAATATTTAAGCTATATGAATTGCATTGGATACTTCACATTAAAGCATATTCATTAATCATAGTGGACGACCATTTATGCTATATATGAGAGAGATTAACAACTAACATCGATTGCTTGCTTAACAGTACATTAGATACGTTAACAAGCTCCCATGGTAAGCTTTGGTTATTTTAGTAACAATGTAAGTATTTTTTATTACAACTCTTTGCAGTGCTACATCCCTAGATGACATTTCATGTTTCAATTAGATTAATTAGGATTTCTAGAATATTTGTTTATCAGTAAGTACTTAACAATGTAGTAAGTCTAAATCATTATTTGCATAATTTGATGATTCTCTTAACTGTTCTACTTTCATACTGACTTGCCCACATATTATTACTATTATTATAACTTATGTGGATATTTCTAGCAGAAATATATTAGCACAGCAAAGAAGTGTTGATTGTAACCTATATACACCCCCAAATTCATTGGAAACGTCATTAAAAATGCCTACCCTATGATAAGCAGTGAGTTAGAAAGTTATAACATATTGCATACACTCAAGCTGAGATTTTCTTACACATTATAAAAAGTAATGTAAGGTCTCAGCTGAGCAATTATTAATGCCATTTTCCTTATTAATCTTTTTTTTTACAAAAGAATTATTTAAATAAAGCTATGTAATTAAATTCGGAGTATTGGACGCATTATATCAGAATGCATTACATTAATTTTCTAAGAGTAATGAAGAAGAGTGCAGGATACTTATAGTTTGTTTATATTTATTTCTGGATGCATGTAATATACAATTGCCTTGGCAGTTTATAAGTACTGAACAACATTATATATTTAATGAACCACATTTTTGGATAGTTATTGTAAAATTGGTGTAAAGAAATAACTTTAAGTAATCTAAATAAAATCTTTAAATGTATATTTACTAAACGTTTATATACTTATTCAAATATAAGTATATATAAACATAATATGATATATAAATATATTATATTTATATAGAAAGAAAATACAAACTATAAAACAAGCATAAGAATGTTAATAAATATTACCAATTAATTTTATGATTCTAAAAACTAATTCGTTATGTAAAACAAATTTATAATAATAACTTGATTTAAGAAAATGTAATATTTATAAATATTTTTGCAGTATCCATACACTCTTTTTTGAATTATACTCTTAGAATTTGACTAAAGTTAAGCAGCTGCTAGCTTGAATCACTGGATGTAGATATGCGCAGCTGACGTTTGCTACGCCTTTGGGGGTGTGAGTAGTCCTAGCTGCTAGTAGAGGCAATTGGACTAACAAGGCTCAAAGGACTACGTGCAGGATCCCTGAGACAACCAGTTAATGTAATAGCTATTTTGCGACTCCCAGCATCATTACGGTGTTCACACAACCAAATTCCTTGCCATGTACCCAAAGTCAATTTGCCATCAGTAATTGGAATACTCAATGAAGAACCCAGAAAACATGCCTTTATATGTGCTGGCTATAAATAATATAATTATAAGAAAAACTATATAACTTTCAAACAGCACATATGTATAAATTTGAATACACTTTTATAATGTTGCTTTATATGAAAAAAAATTAAATTTTTTTTTAATAAAACTTAATGCTTAAAAAGATATTATATTATCTTGTATATTTAACTGCATAATCATTTTTATTAATATAATATTTGTATAAAACATTCATTGAGAATAGTAACTTCAGCAATCACGTCTCTAAGCACATAAATATACAATAAATAAAATTTATTAAAAGCTATATGAATGTACATATAATATATACTATAATTTAATTTTAAAAACTTTAAAATAAATTTTATAAACTTACCATATCATCTGGTCCTTCACAACTGTGTCTATAGGCCAAACCTTCAGGAATTATTTTATTAAGCATCATTTCTACATCATCTCTAACATCTGGATCCCAATTTTCATTTAGTGCTAAACTTGCTGATGTGTGAAGAACTAAAAATAATAGAAATTATTATGATATGAAAATATCTTTATAGTTACTATATTAATTGTAATTACATTTTAATATTTAATTATAATAAAAACATAACAAACTTAATTAATATATTATACAATACATACATATACAATCATATGTTTTATATTTCTATTAATTTTAAAGATTGTTAACATATAGCATTTTTAAATTTTATCAAAATTAATACAGTAATTTAAGATTAATTTAGAGTGTCATTGTAATTTCTATTTCGATCTCTCGTCTTTATATGTACCATTAAAGGTTATCAGTAATATCAGTAATAAGAAGGAACACTTAAGTATTTTTTTTAACAAATTTTAATAAAATTAAAAACTAAAGATTATTTATTATTATTTAATAAGAATATTTATAAATAAAATTGGGAAGTAGGGAGTGAGAGAGAGAGAGAGAGAGAGAGAGAGAGAGAGACGCGTATGTGTGTGTGTCTATATATAAATGTATATTGCAACAAAAATATTATTTTTTACATAAATTACATGCGATAAAATTTAATTTTTACTTCAAACATTAAAAGACAACGTATACAATTAAATGTAATTTAACAAATATAGAGTTTCTACATGTCATTATAAAAAAATTTAAATAATATAATGTAATATTATAATGTAATTATTTTTGTTGGAAAAACTTACTTTGTATGTGACACAGTCCAACAGAAAATTCGCACAGTTCAGGAATTCTTCTTAAAATTTCCTCGGTGACGTGATGGATACCTCGACGCTGTGGTCTTAGGTTAATTTTTGTTTGAAACCAAGCAGAACCGATTTGAAATCTTCTATTTGACGAGGCCATGATATGATACGCTGTAGAGATTACACACTTAACTAGACTTTGAATAAAATTTTCCGCAAAGCGAAGAATTGGTAAAATCTACTTCAAGCCAAAAATCACAAGAATACGGTCCACTCCATTGGGTATAGTATGCGTCTACTATCTTCGCCTCTTGCCGGCTACAAGACGTACGGATTTAACCACATCTTTTAAGATTGTCTAATTGCATCTGCTATATTTCGTATTCATAAAAAGGTTATGAGAAATAATGATTCAACGTGCACATACGTATCACGTTTACATACATATACGCTCACCTTCACCTACACGGAATATCATAAGTATCAGGTACGCATACTAATAGTAAAAGAATAAGACGATAAAATTATTTCAAAGTAAATCATTGTATCACTAAAAAATTCAAATTTTTTAATAGAAGATTTGTTTAGCAGAATTTTAGCGATGACGAGCCATATTGTTCGCCATATCAAATGTCAGAGAATAAATAAATCGAATGGTAATCCAAACAATAATGTAAGTTACGTTCGGTAATCGTACGTTTGTTTCTAGGACCATTTAATTCCCTATTGATTGGTTGTCATATAAGCGACAAATTAGAAATTAACAATATTAAAGAAAAATATATCTATTAATAATGACAATTATATGTATTAATAACAATCCTTAACTTAATAGAACTATAATTAATTTAATATAATGCATTATTGGACTATTATTATCATATATGTCGGTATATATGATAATGAATAGACACGTATATAATTAATAGAAGAGAAAAATAAATAATGTAAATAAACATGTCAGAAAATATGCCAATTGTTAATTTAAAACTAATTATATTTATATTTATTTTATATAATACTAATTCTTAAATGAATATATATATTATAATGACAATAATTATATTTCCTTACTCAAATCTTTATTCAAATATTACGAAAGGTAGACAAATCTAAAGAGATAAATCAACAATTTTTAAATGTACTTTATCGATTTTTGATTTATCTACAGTCACATATAAAATATCTAAGTAAAATGTATATGTAAGATTCTAAAAATAATCATAAATTTTTTAATAAAAAATATTGAAGCATTATTCATTGTTATACATTTTAAGGAGAAATTTATGTATTTTATTGACCAGATTTATTATTAAACAAAAAAATGTAATATATTTTGAGAAATAATGATGTAATTAAATTTTTTAATAAATCTTTTATTATACAAAATTGGATGTTACTTTATCAAATATTTAAATTTGCTTTTTGA